GGGGGTCCCTGGGGGCAAGGACCCCTGGGCGCCCCCCCCCCTCCCCCCCCGGGTCTCCAGGTTCCCCCCTATTGCTGCCCAGGCCCTCACCCTCCTCTCCCGCACAGGCCTCGGGGCGCCGGGCACGGCATGGATTGAGCGAGCGCCCGCTGCCTCCCCACGCCCCACAGCACTCCAGCAGGTGCGTGCGCGGGCGCCCACCGGGCACCTGGGTTCTGCAGGCCGGGTAGGGTCCTGCCCCAGGGGGTTAGGGCTGCGTGTGTCCCGGACGCCTGGGTCCTGCACGCGCATCTGCACTTGGGGGGGGGGTGGCGAGAGCAGCGACGCCTGGGTTCTCCGTGCGTGCAAGTGTCTTGAATGCCTGGTTCCTGCATGTATCTGTTCATGCGCCAGTGCCCCACATGCCTGGGTTCTGCACATACGTGTGTGCAAGTGCGCTGCACATCTGGGCTCTGTACATGTGTGTGCAAGCGCCCTGCATGCCTGGGTTCTGCATATGCATGTGTGCATACACTTGCGAGTTGCCTGCACACCTGGGTTTTGTGCACGCGTGTGTGTGTGCATGCATTTGCAAGTGCCCTGGACACCTGAGTTCTGTGGGTGCATGTGTGCGATCCTCGCCCAGCCCCTCCAGCAGGGGGCATTTACCCCCTTGCCCATGGGGCATTTATCCCCTACTCCTGCGTGGCATTTATCCCAACAGGGGCATAATCGCCCTCCTCTGCCCCCTGCAGGGTAAATGAGTCAGAATGGACCAGGAGGGCGGGGGTGACTTCCCGAGAGCCCCCAATGTCCCGTGGCGCAGCTACAAGCTGCTGGTGGACCCCGCGCTGCGCCGTGCCCCCCAGAAGATCTACCGTTATGATGGCATCCACTTCAGCGCCCCCGTGAGTCTGCCTTGCTGGGGGGGCAATTAATGCTCCCGTTCAAGGAGGGGTCTCTGGGGTTGTACCCTCCCCCCAATTTTATCAGATCTCGGGGAGTGGGGACTTCTGGGAGGGGGGTGGGAGCAGGGGGAGCTGGGAGCCTGGATGCCTGGGTTCTCTGGGCTGGTGGGGGTGGGAGCCAGAACCCAGGCATCTGAGCTCCGGATCCTTCCTCTCCTCCCCACTCGAGGCCAAGGGAGTCCCGAACCCCATCGCTAACTGTTGTCTCCCCCAGGATGCGCGGTATGCCCCCGTGGATGAGGTGCGGGACCCCCGGCACCGCCGCATCTGGGCTAAGCACCGTGACCTCTCACTGCCTGTGCCCAAGTTCAAGGTGAGTCGTTGTCCACCCCATCCCCCCTGCCAATCAGTGCCTACCTCCCAGCCCTCCTCAATGCAGAGTAGAGCAAGGGAGCGTAACCTCCACTGTCGGCATCCCTGGGTGGGCTCTCTGGGGTGCAGCCGGCTCTGGGGAGGCAAAGTCGGCCAAGTGTAACGCCGCTCCATGCCTGCAGCTGGACGAGTTCTACGTGGGGCAGATCCCACTGAAAGAGGTGACCTTCGCCCGCCTCAACGACAACATCAAGGAGCCCTTCCTGGCTGAGATGTGCCGCAAGTACGGTGAGGTGGAGGAGATCGAGATCCTCTACCACCCCAAGACCCGCAAACACCTGGGCCTGGCCAAGGTGCTCTTTGCGAGCACGCGTGGCGCCAAGGACACTGTCAAGAACCTGCACAACACCTCTGTCATGGGCAACCTCATTCACGCCCAGCTCGACATCAAAGGTACCTGCCTGCCTGGTACCACGGCCCCCCTGCCCCAGCTAAAACGTGTGGGGACCCCGGTATCCTACCCCTGCCCTGCTCCAGGACCCCTGTGCCCAGTCTTGGGAGCATGGAGACTCTAGTGCCCTACCTATACCCAGTCTCAGGGTGTGGGGACCCTGGTGCCCTATCCATGCCATGTCTCGGGGGTGCAGGGACTTCGGTGGTCTACCCCTGCCTTCCTCCAGGACCCCTCAGGGGGCATGGGGACCTTGGTGTCCTACCCGTGCTATGCTCTAGGACCCTTGTGCCTGGTCTCGGGGGCATGGGGACCCTGGTGTCCTCCCCATGCCCAGTCGGGAGTGCAGGGCCCTCAGTGTCCTACCCCTGCCTTGCTTCAGGACCCCCATGCCCGTTCTCGGGCATGTGGGGACCCTGGTGTCCTACCCGTGCCCAGTCTCAGAGGTGTGGGGACCCCAGTGTCCTACTCTTCACTTGCTCCGCAACCCCCGTGCCCAGCTTCTGGGGCATGGGACCCAGGTGTCTGGCCTCAGAGGTGTCTGACCCCAGCGTCCTATGGGAGACGGGGATCCTGGAATCCACCTCCATGACCCTGCGGAGCTCAGTGTCTGACTCCCTCCTTGCCCCCTGCCCCTGGGGTTTGGGACCCAGGTGTCCAGCCTGTTTTCCAGGCGGGGAGTTGGAGCAGAGGGGGCGGGAGCCCGGACGCCTGGGCTCTTCTGGGGCTCTGGTGACTTGTTATCGGTCCTGCCAGTGCCATGGGGAGCAGAGCGGCGGGTTTGGGCCCACCTGCAGCTGCGTCCCCCTCGCCCACCAGGCGGCGCTCCGTCCCAGAGGAGTGCGTGCGGCCGGGCCCTGAGGTGCTCCCCTTGCCCCCTGCAGGCCAACAGCGCATGAAGTACTACGAGCTGATCGTGAACGGGGCCTACACCCCACAGACTGTGCCCACAGGCGGCAAGGCCCTCAGTGAGAAGTTTCTGGGCTCTGGCACCCCGGCTGACACGGTATGCTGCCCCTCGCCCCAGCTCTCCCTCCCTAGATGTGGCCACATCCCAGCATAGGGGGAGGCGTTATGTGTGGCTGGTTCCCCAGCTGTCCCTCTCCAGAGGTGGCTGCATCCCAGTATAGGATGAGCTGTTACATGTGGCCAGTTCCCAAGCTCTCCCTCCCCAGAGGTGGCTGCATCCCAGTCTGCAACGAGGTGTTGTGTGGCCATTCCTTAGCTTTCCGTCCCCAGAGGTGGCTGCATCCCTTCACACAGTGAGGTGTTACATGTGGCCAGTTCCTAGCTCTGCCTCCCAGAGGTGGCTGCATCGCAGTCTACAATGAGGTGTTATATGTGGCCATTCCCTAGCTCTCCCTGCCCAGAAGTGGACACATCCCCATATAGTGCAAGGTGTTACATGTTGCCAATTCCCAGCATTCCCTCCCCAGAGGCGGCTGCATCTCATGCTCCCCGTTACATGCGGCTGTTCCCCAGAAGCAGCCACATCCGGTTCCAGCCTTCTCCCTCCTCCCTACAGCCAGAGTCCCGGAGGCGCCAGTCCACGGACAACTCATACCCTGGCAATGCCCTGGCGTCGACGCCCGGCAACGGCACCCCCTGCTCCCAGGACACCCCATACTCCAGCGGGCGCCAGGATACACCCTCATCCTATGGCCAGTACACACCGCAGTCGTCCCAGGGGACCCCCTACACGCCTCGCGGGGGCACACCGTACTCCCAGGACTCGGCCTACTCCAGCAGGTACCTTGCCCCCTTAGCAGGGCATTCCACGGGGCAATTTCCTCACTGCTGTACCCCAGAGCTGTCCACATTTCGGTACAAAATGGTGTCATGCAATACATGTCTGCTCCTTGGCTGACGTGCCCAGAACTAGACACATCTCGGGACTAAGTGTAGCATCATCCTACAGTGTTACGTCCTGCCCCTCCCCAGAGCTGGCCACATCCCCACCCCCTAACCACACCCCCTCTCTTCTCCCTGCCCCCCC